ACCCAGCTACTCAGGAGCTGAGCAGACGAACGAACTTGCTGTGAACTCCAGGAGGGGAGGTCGAAGTGGCTGAGATTGTGCCATTGCACTCCAGCATGGGCAACAGAGCAACTCCGTCTCAAAATAAAAAAAAAAAAAAAAAAAAAAAAACCAACTGTGTGCAACATCCCAAACAAAGATTCTGGTTCTTTGTTTTTTGTTTTTTGCCTTTTGATTTGTTTTTGTTTTTGTTTAGAGAACAGGGTCATCCGGCCGCTAAGTGCCTGGTTGTGATCATAGCCACTCACCTTCAACTCTTGGGCTCAAGCAATCCTCCCACGAAAGCCTCTTTGAGTAGCCTGGGATACCGGTACATGCCACCACGGCCCTGGGCCAATTTTTTCATTTTTTTTAACGAGATCCTTGCTATGCTTTCCAGCGTATCTCACATGCTTGGGCTTCAGCAATCCTCCTTGCCTATCTCCAAAGGCTGGGATTAGATAGTGGTGAGTCACCATGTCCTGGCCTCTATGTTTTGTAGTCAGTTCTCAACTCAGGCTGCACTTAACTCACCAGGCAAGCTTTCAAAAAAATACCTATGCCCACCGGCGCACGGTGGTCACACCTTAACCCAGCCCCTTTCGCAAGGCCCCATCTCTACTAAACATACAAAAAATAGCCAGGTATGTGGCGGGCGCCTGTAGTCCGCACTACTCGGGGGTGCTGAGGCAAGAGAACATGTGTAACCCGGGAGACGGAGCTTGTAGTGGCGCCGAGATCTATGTGCGCCCTGCACTCCAGCTTGTGGGTGACACAGCAGACTCGTCTCAAAGAAAAAAAAAAAAAAATTAAAGCGCCCAATCCCTAACCCCCAGGCCCAACTGAATGTCTAGGAAAAGCCCAATATATTGTTAAATGTGCAAAATAATACTAGGTAGTTGCTCCCACATAAATATATTTCTATTTAAATATACTTAGAATATATTTACTATGTTATACTTTAAAACAGTTTTCAAATATAAAATTCCTAGTGTATTTCTAAAGTCTCCAAGGTAAGTCCGAGTTGGAAGCCGGTTTGAAAACTGCTTTTTTTTTTTTTTTGAGACGGAGTCTCGCTCGCTCGCCCACGCTGGAGTGCAGGCAATTGGCCGGTCTCAGTCACTGCAAGCTCCGCTCCCGGTTTACACCCATTCTCCCCTGCCTCAGCCGTCCGAGTAGCTTGGGACCACAGGTCCCAGCCACCTTCGCCTGGCCCGTTTTTTTGTTTTGTTCTTGAGATGGAGGTCTTGTCTGTCTCTACCGGCCTGGAGTGGCAGTGGCACGTCTTGGCTCACTGCAAGCTTCCGCCCCCGGTTTCACGCATTCTCCTGCCTCAGCCCCAAGTAGCTGCGACTACAGAGCACCTGCCTGCGCCCGGCTAATCTTCTTGTATTTTTTAGTAACGAGACGGGGTTTCACCATGTTGAGCCAGGCAGTCACAATCTCTTCTGACCTGTGCATCCGCCCGCCTCGCCTCCCAAATGCTGGGATTACAGCTTCAGCCACCACTTCTGGCTCGTTTGCTCCTTTACATATACTAAAAAAAAGAATTAAAGGCAAGTTCCTGTGCCAATTATTACAACATTATCTCTCAGCTCCAAACCCACCCTTCTCTACACTCATTTGTGGTACTTCTGCTGGTGGCTTTGAGGAGAGATTCTGTAGGGTTGGAAAAGCTGCAAACTAAATTCAGCAACTGCTGTGAGAAGGTTCTGTCACTGCAGGGTCAAGAAGCATTCTAGGCTAACAGGACAGAAACAAGAAGCAGGCAGAAAGCAAACAGGAACCATGAGGAAGGAGCAAGTCCTTCTTGCCTGACCCTTAGTCTTCCTCTAGTGCTCTCCAACTGGGTGAAGTTCCTGAGGTCTGATGATGGTTCTGCAAGCTACACTAGTACCAACGAGAAGTGGATGGCTGTAGGATTGTAGCCCCACTCAAGGTGGCCTAGAAGGAAAATGATGAAGGGAAATACCCTGGGTGGTCAGAACTTCAAGTGGTACATTGTCTGCATTAGCTAGACTGAGAGATGGTCAGAAGTACATACAGATCATATTGACTTATGAGCAGCTGCTAACTCTTTGGCTTGATGGTCACAGACTTGAGAAAGACACAATTGAAAGACTGGTGACTAGGCCAGGCATGGTGGCTTATGCCTGTAATCCCAACACTTTGGGAGGCCAAGATGGGCGGATCATTAGGTCAGGAGGTCGAGACCATCCTGGCTAACACGGTGAAACCCTGTCTCTACTAAAAATAAAAAAAAAAATTAGCCAGGCGTGATGGCGGGCACCTGTAGTCCCAGCTACTTGGGAGGCTGAGGCAGAAGAATGGCGCGAACTTGCGAGGCGGAGCTTGCAGTAAGTCAAGATTGTGCCACTGCACTCCAGCCTGGGCAACAGAGCGAGACTCCATCTCAAAAAAAAAAAAAAAAAAAAAAAAAAAAAAACCAACTGTGTGCACATCCAAACTAAAGGAGTTCTGGTTTCTTTGTTTTTTGTTTTTTTCTTTTGATTTTGTTTTTGTTTTGTTTAGAGACAGGGTCATCCGGGCTAAAGTGCAGTGGTGTGATCATAGCTCACTGCAGCCTTCAACTCTTGGGCTCAAGCAATCCTCCCACTCAGCCTCTTGAGTAGCTGGGATTACAGGTACATGCCACCACGCCTGGCTAATTTTTTCATTTTTTTTTTAAGAGAGTCTTGCTATGCTTTCCAGGGTAATCTCACATGCTTGGGCTTCAGCAATCCTCCTGCCTATCTCCCAAAGTGCTGGGATTATAGGTGTGAGTCACCATGCCTGGCCTTCTTTGTTTTGTATCAGTGGTTCTCAACTCAGGCTGCACATTAGACTCACCTAGGAAGCTTTAAAAAAATACTAATGCCCGACCGGGCACGGTGGTTCACACCTGTAATCCCAGCACTTTGAAAGGCCCCATCTCTACTAAAAATACAAAAAAATTAGCCAGGTATGGTGGCGGGCGCCTGTAGTCCCAGCTACTCGGGAGGCTGAGGCAAGAGAATGGTGTAACCCGGGAGACGGAGCTTGTAGTGAGCCGAGATCCTTCTTCTACACCTACATTTGTGGTACTTCTGCTGCGTGGGCTTCGAGGAGAGATTCTTAGGGTGGAAAAGCTGCACACTAAATCAGCAACATGCTGTGAGAAGGTTCTGTTCTCGCCGCAAGAGCCAACTTCCTAGCTAACAGGACAGAAACAAGAAGCAGGCAGAAAGCAAACAGGACCATGCGGAAGCGGAGCAAGTCTCTTGCCTGACCCTTAGTCTTCCTCTAGTGCTCTCCAACTGGTGAAGTTCCCGAGTCTATGATGGTATACCTGCAAGCCTACAAAACTTAAGTACCACGGAACGTGATAGGCTGTAGAATATGTAAAAAGCCCACTCAAAGTGCTAGAAGGAAAATGACTGAAAGGACACAATCACTCGCGGTGGCTCAGCAACTTCAACGTGGTAACATTGTCTGCCATTAGCTAGACTGAGAGATGGGGTCAGAAGTACATACAAGAGTCATATTGACTACTATGAAGCAGCCATGCTCAACTCTTCTTGGGCTTGATGTCCACAGACTTGAGAAAGACACAATTGAAAGACTGGTGACTAAGGCAGCGCACTGGTGGCTTACTGCT